TTTAGTATTTTAGTGGAAATAGTAAACTGAAACACAAAGACCTTTGATCTCTCTTCTCATATTGTTGATTTAAAGGTTATTTTAAAAAATACTCAAATGTTGCTTACTTAAAAATATTTTATACACGGGGTAAATTTTTTTTAATGATTACTGTAGTTTATCTGATTCCAAGATGCAAGTTTTTGCTGTTCTTTTATACTGATAAATCCACATATTGTAATACCATGTTAAAATTTACATGAAGTTGCATCAGAATAAGATTTTGTCCCATCTTTCACAACTCTTTACTAAACTACTCATAATATTACTGAATATGTCTCATTTTGAGGACTGTAGAAGCATCCTGGACTCTTTGTTGTTACCACTGGATTTGCATGTGGAACTAATGAACTTTACTGAATTTCAGTAAATTTTTAGTGTTTAGATGATCTCTATATTCCTTCTAGATGAATTCTTTACTGTCTTTTGATCTAGTATGTTTGACACCTTAATTGTTTTGAGACTTCCTTAAGTGATTGAGCTGAAATGGGGCAGGGAGTGTGGGGGAAGCACAAGTGTGTCATAGCATAACTGAAGCAAAAGCAAGGGTAGTTTGAGATAAGTTAACACCATATTGACAAAGCAATGTTGGGGTTTTTTTTAAGCACAAAAAGCCTTTTGTAGGATCAAAATAAAAAATAAAAGAAAAAGTGAGAGACAAGAAGAAGAAGAAGAATCAAAGGACCAACCTTTTGGAAAACTTTCCCAAAACCAGTGTGAGTTCTGATAGCAATTGGAAGCCTGTGATAATAAATACTAAGGCACTTGGTATTGTGCCAATATTGCCACTGCTAGTGGGCTAAGGAATGCTTTAGAAATAGAAATCATATTTACTTTTTATGATTCAGCTATGCCTGATATCTTAATCTTTAAAACAAAAAAAAGTTTATGTTAGAAGGAAGACTGACTTCATTAAAAATGACTTATAAAAGTGTTAGGAGCCAAGATTTGAACTTGGCAGGAAGTTTTGAGAAGTTTCTTTCTGTATTGCGATTATTCTACTATTTTTCTATTAATTTATTATTATTATATTAATTTATTAGTAGATAATATGTGGATATTCTACTAATTTAAAACAAACACAAAACTACAAACAAAACTAAACCCCTGAATGTTATTGTGAACTCTCAGTTTAAACATGTTTAGTAAACACATGGACTTCTAGTGCATTGTGTGTTCTGTCTCCTCACAGTCCCAGGTTCTAATAGTGCTGAAAGCAGAGGCTGCTTCTTCTTTGCTTCTCCGGGTAGCATCCAGGCACTGAGCTAGAGGTCACTGGGGAAGGGACCAGTGAAGGATGCAAAAGTTTGGAGAACATTAGGTAGGAAAGAAATGGAAGTACATGGGATATGCACAAAGGGTGACTGAACAAAAGAGGAATACGTATAAAAAGAGAACTGGACACCAATAAGATGGGAACAGTATGAAGAAATGTTATTGCCAGAGAGAAGCAGGGGTAAAAACTTCCAGGACCTGAAGAGGTATTATTGTTAACAAAGAGTGGCTTCAGGTAGGATGTAAAGATACAGGCAATGAGGACAGCAAATAAGAAGCATTTAAAGAGATGAGATGAAAAGTGAAAAGGCAGGACGCCTAAAATAAGCCAGACTTGTTTGCACTATTTCTCTATCTTCCCATTGCATTGTTGTCAAGCAAATGCCATCAATGAGATTCTCTAGAAAAATTAATATTTCCATTCATTTTATGCATAAAATAGCATTTATTGGTTTCTGAAGTCCCCATATGCATATGCTGTATAGTCCTCAGGAATGCTAATATTTTCTTGTTAGAAGTATTGTCATATGAGATGACCTGATATTTGTTTTTGTGGTTGGTTATTGCCTGCACACGTCTTCATCCCCTAACAATTATTACACTGTGTCACATTGTTCAGTGTGAAATGCATGAAATGTGTCTAGATTATCTTGAGTCAGACTTGCTATAAGCCTAAGAATCTTGTTTGGGTATATAATTTTTTACTTTTTTATTTGTATATTCTTCTGGCTATATTTATGGATCTTTTTGCAAATAGTTATAGCTGAAACTCTCTTTTTCCTCCATTCCAAAGTATTTCAAATGTGCATGTGTATGAATTGCAATTGACTCTCTTTGACTATTCCAAACCCAGTTTATTCCACTTATATTTTGGGGGATGCCTTATTTCTTAGAGTCAAGTTGTATTTTGGGGCTGTCACAACCAGTTTAAAACCAAAATAGAAGAATACACTACTAGGGTCTTGACTGTAACACTTTAAAAATACTGATTACTAGTAAAAGTTAAATAAATTAAATAAAAATTAAGCTTAAAAATTATATAAATATTTAATTTAATTACTGTGTTGTAGGAAGGAAGAATATTGAAAATAGCTGAATGTCCAAGTGTTCATAATTTATATTCTTAGTAACAAATGGCTGAAGAATGAATATAAAATAATAATAATAAATATTTAAAATATAAAATAATAAAAATAAATATTTTTTCTAGTGCAGTGCCTGTTTAATTTTCATGCTCTGCAGTTTCACTTCTGGAATTATATTTGCATGAGATTAGAGGATAAATGCATACCTCTCCAAGGGCTACACAGACACTAGGAAAGGATGATTGGAATGAGCATTCAACTCACCCCACTTACACTTATTCATGTCAGTGGAGCTCCAAGTCACAGAAACTGGAGGTCTACCTCTGGCCATTAGTTACCTAGAGATATTCAGGTCTGTGGATTCCCCTTTTGGGTCTCATGCATAAAACAGAATAATTGCTTTCAGAGCTTTAACTAGACATTAAAATATCTTTTTCAGGTATGGTATTTTTCTTCAAGCATTTGAGTTAAGTGAGTCTTTAGATTACCAAAAGTTTATATAGCTCATGTCTTGACCTTAAATCATTAAAACAAATTTATTTTGATGCTATTCAGTTTTTTCTGATTCATACAAATAGTCACACAATTACTTTTTGGTCTCAATTAAATCTGAAGTGTCAGGTGCAAATTTTTTTGTTATTGTGGAAGGTTTTAAAACCTGATTTTTACTCACAACATAAGGTCTTTACTCTAGTAGGTATTTCTGAAGAGTAGATTACAATGTACTCATAATTACTTTTTTCTTCTATTTTTCCTTTCTTCTTGGAGTTTTGGGGAGTGGATTATGCAAACAGCCACAGACCTTTCTTTGTTTATTGTTTTTGGTTTTTGCTTATATACTTTGCTAAACTTATTTACAGAACATTACCTATTCTGAGTTGTGGAGGGAAAAAATATGTTGGTTTATGGTGGTATTTCATAATTGTTATAAAGGTTCTTGGTAATAGATTCCTTTGGGCAGGTGAGAGTGAAACCACACTGAATGACTAGTGTTTTGTGTATGTGTATGTATGTATGTATGTATATATATATATATATATGGCAGATTTATTAGATCAGTTTGGTTGTAGCCATTTTGGTTATTATCATCTATAGAAATGCAGCAATATAAAAGTATGATGATACCACTTAAGAAAATACAGAGGGAAAAGAGAGAAAGGATAAGAATAGAGAGAACTGAGACTTAATTGCTTAATTGTTGCAATTTCTGTGTCTCTTGTTTGAAGTGATGGTCACAGTCTTGATCCATCAAGGGTGGGGTAAGCCTATGAAGCACCAGGTTCAATGGGTTAGTATACCGTCACATTCAGGTGAGAACATCTGGAGTACCACCCCTGAGACAAGGATTTTTCACAGTCTGTTGCAACACTGTGGATCATGTGCAGTCCTCTGGTGGAAGGCCTCAGATATTAGTCTGGGCACACTTTGTGGGACTTGGATGGCTTATGACACCTAAAGCATGACAAGTGCCTCTCACATCAGCATAGCTGAGCCAGTTATGCCCCATCAGAAGGGATGTATGCCTTCAGGCCTATGTGGAAGTGTGAGTCTGCCAGTACCTTCCACAGAGGGGAGTTTTCTGCCTGAGCCAGTTATATAAGGGAGGACATTGCCCATTGCCATGATAAGAAGCACTATTCCCACTTGGCAGGATCTGCTTCTTATGAGCTTTTTCCCATATTTGTCTCAAAACACAGCTTGTTGCTAAATAGAAGTTGGTTGGTTTTGGTCATCTTCTGGGGGTGGGTGCACACCCCCTCTTGTGCCAGGACTGCTCTTACGCAGTTGTGATATTTGACCACCACACACCAAAAACTCTCTCCCTCTCCTTCCAATAGAGAGTGCAAACTTGGCCTCAGCAAAGCACCTTTTCACCTGCTGCTTTTGCAAATGGATGGTTGGGACATTAACCCCTAACATTTCAGTCTCTCACAATAATGAGAAGATCATGCTATATCACATCTACTTCTGAATAATAAAAAAACTATTCTATGTGGAATCTAGACATGCAGACTTGCATTATATATATGTATAAAGAATAAACTTTTTGTCTGTTCGGGATTTTTATGCTGTGAAGAACTGATTCCTAAAGTATTCTAATTTCATGTTTACTTTAAGAGTAGATGTGGAAAAAATTCAGGACCTAATTTGTAGTGAGGTATATCCTTGTTAATGCAACTTTGTTATTTTTTAAATTTAAATTGGCTAAGAAAAATAGTGATCTAAAGGATATGAATTCTCTTAGTTTGTAGAAAGAAAAATATCACTCTAATGTTATTATTTTTTACTTTCTACTAATTAAAGTGTTGTGACAGATCTCTTGATTATTTTTAAATAGTTATGAACTGCTTGCAGATTACCAATTACCTCAGATAGTTATTTAGTGATTTAGATAACTAAACTTCTGAACTGTATGAACTGAGAGCCACTCATCAATCCCATCCTTTTTATTCCAGTAAAACTCTACTGCAAGCCAAAGAAAACAATCTTTTATCGGAGTCAAGAGTTACAGATGTTGATGATTAGATTCCATTCCATCACTAAGATCTTTAAAATAGCTTTTATTTATCAATGTTTTCCATCTTCATTTTGCTTTTCTAGTACTCCACAAGCAGCCAAGAGAAGTGTGCCTTTGTTTGCTGGAACTTGGAAGAATTGCAGCAAGGTAAATATATTTAAAGGTAAAAAATATTTAAAGACTGATGAAATATTTGCATTCTTGACTGCAGGGCTATTGACAGCCATATTAAATCAGTACATCTCAAGCTAACTTTTGTGTTTATTGAGTTCAAATAGAAGTTCATCTTGATGTCACACTTGTGGGCAGTTGTTAACAAATATTACAAAATCTCTGTACCTCAATGAAGAAATTTGTTGGCTATCCTTGTATTAAAGAGAGGAAGGGTATGAGAAATTTCTTTTTTCTATAAAACTTTAAGACGATTCTCTTTCCAAAGTCAGATCTCTCTATAAACAACTGCAATTTAATTAAGTTTTCTGGTAGTAAGTTGATCTTGACATGACCTAAATCTGATTCTAGCTGGGCTGGACCATCAATACATTGTAATGTTATCTTTGACATCAAGACAAAGACTTTCGCTAAACAATCAAAATTATAGTAGCTAGAATGTGTTTTTCCCCCTTTTTGCGGATGCAAATTTAACCAGCATAATGTGTAAGACTTACTAAAAAATACATGAGCAGCAGCACTACTGCCCAGTCTTGCATGTAAATTGTAGTTGAATTCATCGATGTGTGTCAACTTGGAGTGCCTTGCTATTCAGATAGTTTCATTGATTTCAGAAGAATTCCTTCTGGTAACAACCAAGGTGAAAGATACCCCTGTTTATTCCTAGTTAAGAACTAGTATTGACTGTGTTAAAATTCTATCATGTGTATTCATATTTTGTGAATGAACTCACGGTCAAGTTTCAGAAAAACCCATGCTCTCAGTGTAATCTTCTATAGGAACAGCAACGACCAAAAAAATAGTGATTTCAGGTTTTCAATTATTTTGTTATCTCTAGAACTTTGGTTCAAATGGCAAATTGTTTTAACTTCCCACAGAGAAGTATTTTGATCTGAAAGTGCATAATGAAATTAATCTTAATGAATCTTAATTTACTGGAGCAAACCAACTGTGCTTTCAAGACTACTGTGGAGATAGACCTACAAAGACCCTATGCTTGGGGCATAACTATCGGGGGTATCTGCCCCAGCTGGTGAATTTATAGTATCCAACTTCCTCCAGTAATGCATGTTTGTCATTAGGCAGTGCTGGATTCTGCTAAAGTTGGTTGAGTTAGATTAGTCTCATTTTGCAGTGAGATTTGATGTCCTAATAGATCTACAAGAGAATGAAAATAGAATCTTATTCTTTATATTTGTCTTAAGCTTCCATGTCTCAGATGCTTTCTATTCCAGACATGAAAAGTACTGAACAAGTAAATAAGCCACGTTTTCATTTATTATGTGTATCTATCCCTTTTCCCTTAAATATTTGCATTTTATTTTTTATTTCTAATACATGAATATTACCATATATCATTAATGATTATTTTATATATTGTGTTTCTGTTTCTGTATTTATGTTTCTTTATTTTAATTTTATTTATAAATTAGGGGTCAGATGACATGTCTGTCTACTTTTCCCTGCTCTAGTATCTCTTCAAAAACAAACTCCCATTTATAATCTTGTGCACTTCCAAAGTACACAAAAACTGAAGTGGAATGTCAGGTTAATACAATTGAAAACCAAATATATGATGTCTATTTTGCCTGTGCTGTGGTAAACTAGAGCTGTATGGGAAAAAAATTATAGTTTCCTTCATTAAGTGTAGGAAAGAGCATATTAAAGTGATGTTGCTGTGCTGCTTTAAAGAAGAGAGAAGTCAGATGTATGCTTTGTAAAGCAAACCAGGTCTGTTGGCAGTCTTAGGGATCTGCTTTCCAGAACAGGAGCTGCAGAGATCTTTGAAAAAGTACCTCAGTCTGTTTTTTAAGAACTAAAAGAGTAAGAGACACTGAGAAATTTTAGAAGCAGAAAGATATGTTCAAAGTGGCTTATTCATCACAATAACTCAGCTTTTGGTACACTGCCCAGCTAGATTACTGTTTGTCTTCAGGGTCTGTAACTCCTGTAAGTCAACCTAAGCTTTTCATTTAATGCAAATAGACTTGTGATTGAGGCACAAGTAAGGAAGAATGAGGATTGCTTGAGGAAGAGTTAAATTGAACTCTGTTCTGCTGAACTAGAACTTGTATTCAACAGATATTCTGTGGAGGAGGGGAGACAGGTGATAATTTACCTTTGCTTTAGTAATGCTTTTTATCTCAGTGTCCTCTTAGACAAATTAGGAACATATAATCTTGATGGATGGACTGCACAGTGAGTGGGAAACTGGTGTGACCACTTAGTTCAAAAAGTAGCAATTCAAAGATATTAATAGAAGTACATTTATCAGTATGTCTGATAAATTATCCTGAATTTCAGTTTTTTATGAAAACAAAGTTCTGGGATCGTCTGCAAAACTTTTGTCACTGGCAAATGTTACATCTGATACAATGAGATGTATGAGAGAGGGAAATATCCTACAGGGTGGAATTGACCACTGACAATGCACAGGACTTTTGCAGAGAGTTGCACAGGTCAAACATTCTCCCTAAGTATTTGAAGGTCAGAGATTATACAATAAAAAACAGCTAAATTATTTTTTTTCACAAAGAACGAAGTTCTTGGGTTATTGTTAAACTCTGCGGGGTTAAATGACCCCTACAGGTCTTTTGGAATTACTGTTGAGCAATATCAAGATCTTTCTACTATTGTATTCAATTTTACCTTGATAAAAATGGAAAGTTGTGCTCTAAGTCTAACAGAGATCATGTTACAGTCTAATGCTGCTTCACATGTAGTTGTGAGAAACTGGCCTAGAAAGGAGCAGAAAAGAAAATGCTCAGCATATCTTCCCAGAATTTTCACCTCTACCTCTCTCAGAAAAGACGTGGTTTTTACAATTTCAGCTTTCTAGCGTGTGGAAAATGTGTGTGCCCCTGTGTGTGTGTGTGCCTATGTGTGCCCGTGTTTGTTGATTTTATTTTTCAACTTTTCTTCAGAGGAATTCACAACACTGGAAGTACAGGCAACTTTAAAAATCTGTCACAAGCACAAAATGTAGAAACTATGAAAAGCAGTAGAAGCAAAGAAGCAACATTTCTTAGAGTGGAAGAGTTTTATTTGATGAGTAAGGCTGTATGCAGGAGTAGGCTTAGAGCCCAGTGGGAATTAAATTATTTACTTCCTGTCAGCATCTGCAGACAGACAGGAAGTAAATAGATTTTATGTAAGTGCTTGCTTCAATGTTGGCTGGCTTTTCATTAGGCAGACTGCACCAGTTAGAAGCCTCTACAAGCACAAATTTGGTTCTTGGTTTGGTTTCTATTAATTTACTAGGCAGCAGTATGACTAAATTAAATGTTATCAGAAAAACGCAAAAGCCTTGTATATGCACTTATGTCTTTTCTCTGTACACTTCTAAGATCATTATGGTATTTAGCTTAAATTTTCATGATATATATTTGTTACTGCTTAATATTTTAGTGTCCAGATCTTTAACTAGGTAACTCAGTATAGTTCTGCATCTGGACTATGGACTTTCTGCTACAGAAGAAAATATGATTTCATTTGTGCAAGTAGTTTGCTATGAGAAGTCTACCTGGCATGATAACTTTTCCAAGCTGAAATTATTCTGTGATTCTGTGAAAAAGGGACTCTGTATGTTTTTCTGGGATTTGTTCATTGTTGGCAGATAAAAAACCCCCAAAAAACCAGAAGGGAATAATCAGTAATTAGGAAAATGGGATCCGCTTTTAGACTTCTGACTTCTGTCCAAGTTCTGGTGCTTGCTGTGAGATAGTTACTCAGTCACTTGTCATAAAGCTTTCAAAAGATCTTTCACAAACAACCTTGCTCTTCAAGTGCTCTGTTTTGAGTTTACCCATGCTGAACTTGCATGTGTTTTGTTTTAGCTGGAGCTATAAGTATGTTACCACTGTAAACAGAGATCTGAAGACTGGCTGTCAAAAATCAATTAGTAAAAACACTAACCACTTCCGATGAGTAGTGGCCATGTCTCAGTTTACTTACCTATAAATTCAGTACAGTAGCTGAGACCAGGAAAGCCCTTAATCCCTTTTCATTTTGATTTCTTTGAGAAATACTAACACAAAATATAAGTTGTCAAGTAATCTGAGAAGATGCTGTTTGGAAAGAAAAAAATAGAATAAAGCACAAATGTACTGAACTTAACTCTGTCCTGCATGGTATTGCAATTTTTGAGGTCTAGTGTTGTTCATAAATTATTCACCAACATATATGATATCAGACAGAGAAGCTGAAAAAATACCTGTATTTCCTGTAAATTTGATTAACTGAGAGACTGCATCTAAATTATTTTTTTCTATTAATTTGAAATGATGGCGGTAATATTTGGTGTGTTTTATAGATGTTTGTTAATGTGTGTATCATTCTGTTACTGCATACAAAGTAGAAATTCTTTCCACTGTACTGTTTTAAAATATATAATACTTTATATGGACCAGTAATTTATTATTTGCATGTTTCCAAAAGATTTGGGGTGGAACCTCCTGGATTAATAAAATTGGAAAAAGAGATTGAACAAGAGGAAACACTTTCAGCTCCCCTTCCATCTCCTTCACCATCACCCACAAAGTCTCCTGGGAAAAAAAGCACAGGAAAACTGTTGGATGATGCTGTAAGTTGTGGGAGGAAGCTTCTTCCTATCTTATTGATTCTCATATGCACTTACATGCAAAACACACAAAAGCCTGAGTTTAACATCTTACTTTATTTTAAACATTTGTAGATTTATAGAGTTATTTGTTTATTGACCACAATTATTTATGTGTGAAGCTTGGAAAAAAAAAAGTCTGTGTAGCAGCTCTGCAGTTTAGCCTAGCTTTGTGCTTAGGACCACATTCCCTTTTATTACTCTTTTACTCCTTCACCAACTCCCACTTGGTGCTTTGTCGGAGGAAGGACTGAGTCAGAACACAATTTGGCTCATACGGCCTTGTACTGAATGTTAACAAACACTTCTAAGATATTTCAGCCTAAATTCTATGCTGTTCTGCATGATTCTCACATATTAAAAAAACAAGCATTGTTTTCCTCATAGTTAGAATCTTGCTTTAAATTTCATTAAACTTGTTGCAGCATACCGAGTGTTCATGTTTTTGGTGTGAACCCATAGGGGTTCATTTGAAATAGCTGGAATCAAATGAAAAGGACATATTTTGAGACCCTGAAGAGGTTAAACTGGGAAAGTACAAAGCTAGCCTGTAAAAAGAAGCAGTTACCATAGTAACTACTACATTGAAAGGTAGATGTGCCACCTGGGAGTTACAAAGCACTTCTTGAAAAATCCATGTGCCACTTTCCTGTTACAAAGAGCAGATGGAATATAATGTTCATTCTTTTTATTGAAACACTTTTTTTAATTTGATGCATATAATTACATTTAAAATTTTCTGGTTTGTATTTCTTCCTCAACTTTGCAAAAGCACTTGTGTTACAACAGAATTGAGAAAGAGCAGTTATGTGTAGAAGGAGGCTGATGACTGCGTATCATGTAGAAATTGAACAGAGTATGTAGGTTTTCTCTAACCACCTCCTTTAATTTAGAAAGCAGTATGGATAGAAACAGAATGGAATTCATCCAACTAGATTCCTGACCTGCACTGCCCCAGACATTCACACCATAAAATAAGAGTTGCTCATATAGTCCAGACACAAAAGCCTGAGTTTAGCATCTTAGTTTATTTTAAACATCTGTAGACTTACAGAGTTATTTGTTTTTTAAGACTTTAGTTTGTTAGCTGTTCTGAAGATATCCTTTCCTGGGCTTCAGACCACTTTTACAGGCCTTGGTTTGCAAACTGGATATGAAAATGTCTTTGGAATATTGTTTGAAGTGGACAAAATCTACAAGTTCCTCTGGAATTTTGCATTGTTAGATGTTGACATACTAAGTACGTACATTGTCCAAGAAAACCACAGTGTTTGAAGATGCTGCACTTGTTCTTGCTGTTCCTATGCCAGAAGTGCAATTTGAATGTCAAGTAAGAGTTTCACAGCCAGATCTGCTCTTCTGATATTGATGCCTTTGTTATTTTCCCATCACTGAAAAGTACAAAATATACTTCTACTAAACATCACTGCCTCTGGTAGCACATGCCAGACCCAGGAGGCTGAAGTCAAGCTGATGCAGCTAATAACAAGCAGGAAAGTGGTTTTCATCTGTTTTATCTCGGCCTTTATTTTTGGGGCTATGTAGTTAGGTTTGGCAATGGTAGTGTGCTTGAGATACCTTTAAATTAACTTTGATTGAACTTGCCCTAACAAGGAGATCATAAGTGCAGTTGAAACTACTGGGGAGTGTCTTGGCATGAATTTTTAATCATGTAGCATACATGATACAGTATTTTCTGTATGCTTTTTTCTAAGGTGTCAGTGTACAATTTTAAATAGGCAGGGCCTCTAACTGGTAAGGAAGATATCTCTATATTTATATATATTTAGAAGGCAGGATGTATCTTATGACATCTTCATTTTGCCTGTTAGCTGTATTAGCACTTTGAGCTGATTCATCATAAAATACTGAGAATACATTTACAAAAGTTTGATGCTAAATTCCATGTAACAAACTCCTTGACTTCAGATAAAGAGTGCAAATTTGATCCTGAACTGTGGGACATTTTTAACTCAGCTACTAAATCATTGCTATTGGAAGCACCATAGGGTGCTTTCTGGGGTTACAGAAATGTTAAGAAGACCAAGAAAAATACCATCAATTAGGACTTAAATTATACATTATGACAAGTGTCTTACTGAATGTTTTGCTATCCATGTTCTTTTAAACCGTTCCTATTAATAACGTCTTGTTTAATAGGTTAAACATATTTCTGAAGATCCACCGTGTAAATGCCCTAATAAGTTCTGTGTGGAACGTCTTTCACAGGGAAGATACAGAGTTGGAGAGAAGATCCTTTTTATTAGGGTAAAGATTATATTTTCACTTTTTTATTTTTACTTTGTTTTTACTTCACTGCTACCTTCCACTTTGAAAATTACTTCACTGATTAACAGGAAAAAATATTTTCTGGTTAACCAGGACTGACTCATTTTATGACACAACTGGAGAATAAATAGCCTACGGTGTGTCAAGTGACTCAAGGAATTGCTAGTATGTGATAAATATCCTTCTGACTTTAGGTCATTGAATTTGCTCTCTCTTGAATCAATAGCAACCAAAAGAAAAGTCTTCAGAAATGGACCTGATGATTCTCAGTTTGGCTTGAAAGAATATCCACTGCATTAAAACAACTTTTCTTCTACTCTGTTTTGACTGATATTATTTAACAGGTCAGGAAACAGATAAGAGGCTTCATGATCATTGAATTGCCTGGTCATGACTAAGATACATTGGTAAAGCAGCATGAGCAAACCATTAAGATCCATAGTACTTAATTTGATTAACAGATATTTCCAAACCCAGAGCTGTATTTCAGACTTTGTATGTAGAGTATTAACTCCCATAGCACAAAGTTAATCAGTATCAATATTTGCTAATATTATTATATGGCTGAATTTAGCGCATCTATACTTTCAAAGCTTAATTCTTCTGATCCACTTAATCTTCTTTATATATGTCTATGGTAATAATAATTGAAAATATGCTAATCTTATTATGTAGTTGTATATTAAGAATCTGATTCATACTACGCTTCTCTCCATCTTCCTCTCCACATGTACATCTCTTGAATATTGACTTGACACAATGATGGGTCTTGCTCTCAAATAACTGTTATCCCTATTTTGCTAAAGGCACATAACTGTGACCTGATAAAACTGAGCACTTGTAAACAGAAGAAGTCAGAGGGACTCCTTCTTATCTGCAGAAGTCAAGTTCCTGGTTCAACAAAATATCAGAGTGCTTATTCATTCATAAATTTCTGCTTAATTTAACTTACAGTGAAGTCAATGAAGCCAGGTAAGGATTTGGGTTTTCTCAGGAGTGTGAAGTTGGGAACATGTATAAGTACTGTGCTGAATAAGTATTAAGAACTCCTAATTAATTCAGTTATAGATCATAAAGAAGAAGAAATAAGGGATTTGTTAAATCTCACAGATAGTTTGAGATTTAACATGCTAGTAGAAAGGATTAATAGCTTTTCTGGTGTGTAGCCAGTGAGACTTTTTTTTTAATTCTGCAGTATATTTCGGTAATAGCTTTATTACTAGTTTCAAACCACTTTGAAAAAGGTAATGGTTATTAACCAAAGACCTCAGAAATCTGGCACAGTTTAACATCTACATTTTCTTCCTTTTGGTTTTCATTTTAAAAACAGTATCAAAGTATTTTTAATCTTTTAGTTTTAAGAAACTTGAATTCTGCGAGAATGGTGAGTATCAAATTTCCTTTTGCTGGCTTTTTAGTTATGCAGTCTAGTCCAAGCCACATTTCATTCCAAATTTGAAAACAAAACATCCTTTCCATATCACACTTCTGCATTCCAGGTTGAATTTTGCAAAAAAATATAACAATAATATAGATTAGATATTAAACAGCAGTATTAAAGACCATTCCTAGAAAACTTTTATCAGTGGAAACTTGCCATGCATTTCAGTGGGAATAAATTCATGTTCCTAGGTTTTAGAAGTCAGTTGTCTTTTGGTTTAGGTTAGTTTGAACTTCATTTCAGAGCACTTCACTGGATCATAGTGAGTTTTTACTCTTCACTCTACATGTTCATGTGTATATAACTAGATTTATTAGCCTTTCTTTGGAATCCTTTAGACACTTGTGAAAAAGCACATTGAAGATGTGTAGCTGATTTTTAATTTTACTGGTATTTGACACCCTGTTTGATGGCACTGAGGTAGTTCCTCCTATGCTGTATATTCTTTACACAGTGTGACACAGTCAGGTACATGCCATTTTTACAGCCCAATGTGTTCCAGTTGATTTGAGATAAACTCTTTTGTTGTTTTAAGATGTCTTAGTATATCCTCTACTGTATTAGCCTATTAGCTTTTTCCAGTAACCACTATAGAATTTAAAACCTCTGTCACTTCAGTGATGCTACAAGTATGCCATGTGGTAGAAGTTAAAACCTATTAATTGATGGTTAAGATTATTTTTTCAGAACTTATTTAATAATATAAAATTAATATATAATATCTGTATTTTTTTTTCTAATTCTGCAATTCTGTTAGTGAAAAAACCCAAAACCAATATACAAACCAGAGAAGAAAGTGTCCCCACTTCCTCTTTTTATTAATTTATGTCTATATATGACATAAATGAACAAGGAACAGCAAAGCAAAGTAAAACATGGCAGAGCATAGATTTCATGCAAAAAAAATCACAGAAACAGATGTCTCAATTTAAAGTCATTCTAAGGAAAGAAAACCCTTTGGAATATGTAGCAAAAAGCACAGGGGTAATGGTCCCATTAAAATTAATTTTTTTTTTTAACATTGGAAAATATTTAAATTCCTAATAGAAGTTTTAAATATGTGAATTAAAGGAAATTATTAAACTTCATTAAAACATTAAGAGACATAAACATCCTGATAAAATTGCATGCCCCAAAAGTGGGTTTTTATGCATGAAGTGGTTCCATAATGCATAAACTGAATATGATTAACATAATGTTGTGGTGACTTAGATGCTAAATATTTTTTTTCAATAAAAATTTATCTGCTTGTAGATTGTCTTTCTTTCCTTCCTTCCAAATAGGAATGATTCTAAATTCCACTTACACAGAAAAGATGGAAGACATGTTTTATAGTAAAGGATTATATTTATAAGTTGAAATAAATTACCATCTTATTTAAAACTAAAACATTGGTTTACAATTAGTGAGATGTGTGCAACATACAACGAATCATTTGCTGTTTCACTCTCCTTCCATCCTACCATTATGCTTTAGTCTTTCAAAATGGAACTGAATGAATAAGTCTGTTTTTAAAAATAAAGAATAACAAGTCATGGAAACTTGTACAAATGCTTGGTTTATAAATTAGGGAAAAGAGTCACAGAGTTTGAAGTGCTTGCTTCTTGCAGAAGGCAGCAAAGTAGTTATTAAGAGAGATTTTTGTAGTAAGAAATGTCAGTCACACCTTTAAAAAAGTACTTTTTTAACAGTTTCAGTGACAAGAATTCTGTTTTCAAGTTATTGTATATGCATTGTATATGCATTAGTATGAAGATTTTGCACAAACTAACCAGTGTCTCTCAGAAAGATCTGTTGTTTTGGTCCATATCCATGATGATATTCAGATTGTTGGGAAATTATCTTTAGTGCAACTGGAGTCACATTAGATGATATAATGAGTCCTGGTTTTAAAGCTTCTGATTTTTCCTGTGACATATAGATTTTCTCTTTCTTGCAGACCAGTTGATAAGTATGTGATTGCTCTTAAATGATTGACCTTGTACTCTAAATAATTAGTATCATGTAACATTATTTTGCTATAGTAATAATAAAATGTTTATTTAATACTTTTTTCTAAATCCCAGGAAAGGAATGTTTTTTACCTGCTGCAGAACCTGTGTAGAAACTTTATTTTCAGATTCACTAATACAATATATGTGTAATATATAGAATAGAATATATAGAAAAATCACTCTGCAGACAGTCTAGTATGCACTATTGCCTCTTCCTAGTGAGAAAAATTTACTTGTGTATAAATGCATAAGTATATTTTACTCCAAACCATCCAGATAGGGATGATGTACCATATACTATATAAGAACTGGAAATAAGGAGAAATAGAAATCAGATTGATTATACAGATCACAAGACTCAAATGCTTTGTTCCGCCTTTCCAATTCAAATGCAAAAGTTTACTCACAGCTTTTGCATGGTGTGCTTCTGTCTTTTGTTTTTCCTTCAGCATCATTTTCCTAGTTTTTGTCTTCCTTATTCCAAAGATTTTCACAGTTCTGTTTTTCCCAGGCCTCTTCCGATCTGCAAAAGAGTTTATATTTTTAGTAGTGAAAAGCCTTTCCTAAGCTTTATCCATAAGAAATATCTTTTCAGGGTGTTTAAAATGTGAAAATCATGGGCAGATCAGGAGTTTTAATTAACCTAACTCCAAAGAAGATATAGTGGGAATCCTGGGAACTTGTGAATTCTGAAAACAACTTGGGCCTCAGGGCAGCAGCAGTCATTGGTCTCTTTGGGCTTCTAATCTCAGTCTTCTTGTGTTTGTAGACAACTACAAGAGACTGCAACACACCTGGGGAAAGGCATGTCCGAAGTCCAGCCCTAGTTTATACCCAGATAAAAGGTGGTTTTGGAGATCTTTCAGCTTGACATATCTTTGCTCTGTGCCAATTCCTCTCCAATAGCTTTGCAATCACAGAATAGATGACATTTCAGTCTGGTGGTACTGAAGGTGGAATTCTTCTCAACCTTCTCAGGGGCAGTAAAATTCACTCCACAAGACTCAAAAATTCTTGGGCAAACAGTGATACTGAACGTGTCAGTGGAGTGGCTGGAGTTGCGTGTTGCCTATAGAACTGTCAGGAAATCTGTTTTATTCTATACTCCATTGTTAATCTGTTGACACTGGGCAGAGCCCTGCCCTGCCTCAGCTTAAGGTGCAGCTTGCTTGTTCTTTTAGTTACCCCTTCTCTCCTGACTCTTCCTTTATTATTTATTTTTTCCCCTTCCTGCCTCCAGCTTTTCTTATTTAAGACTAGATGCCTCTATGGAACCAGAAGCCCATGGACATATCTCTCTTCACTCTGTTCCTGTTTTTGCACTGAATAAAAAAGTAGCTAGAGCTCCACTGTCTGGTCCTTTGAAGAATTGACATTTCTAGTTAAATAGTTGACTGATTTTCACTGAGGGTTGTTGTTGGAGTTGAGATACAGTGTGTGCCCTTGTTTCTGATACTTAGTTTTAAAATCAAAAAAAACACTGAATTTCATATAACATGAAGTTCATGAGCATGTTTTCATGGTGATACATGAAAACAAATGTT